ATCGTCGGTTCTGCATTAGCAGCTTGGACCAACTGCGTCGGAAAAGTTGGGCCCGAAGTTTCGGGTGGGTGAGAGGAGAATAGTACGCTTCGTAAATTCTGCGCCGAGAAAATGAGGTAGGTTAAAGTTCCAAGCTAAATTTTCCGCGCGAGAAAAGAAAGAAAAAACCAAACAAGCGCGCGCCGCGAGCTCGAGGTCGAAAAATTAAATACTCGATTCTGACAAGTGGAATTAGATATTCTTCCGTTCCCAATCCCTTCTCTCGCGGATTGTCCTCGGTTCAGAGCCGTTAATTCGCGTCTGTAAAGACCTGTGTCCACGATGCTAGAACTTGGTCCAAGTTCTAGTCCCGAGAAATATGTATCCAATCAACTTGCAGCTCTTATGGAATAGCTGCAACGAGGGGGAAACCGCTGATCAAAATCTTGTATGCACACCAATGCCCACTTATGCTCAGTGGGCATTACTTAATCTTATTATCTTCAGTTATCTTATTTATCTTGTTTTATCTTATTTAACCTTATTTTATTTGTAAAATACCCCAGCAAGGCCTAATGTCCAAACTAATGCCCAAAACATGCCTAGTAATGTCCAGTAATGCCGCAAATCTGTACACCACAATGCCCTCAGCGGTTTCCCCGTCGAGCTGCGAGTTGATTGGTTACACATTTCTCGAAACTAGAACTTGGACCAAGTTCTAACATCGCGGACATGGACCTTAAGGGCCGGTTTCACCAACATTGTTTAACTTTAAGCTTAGCTCAATGCGTTCTTCGTCTCCTTCCAACTGTTAGTTTAGAAAGAGACAAACTTGAATTAAATCAAGATTAAAGTTAAGCGACGTTCTGTGAAAAATCAACACTCGCAGGCCTCAAGTCGTAAACAGTCCTCGGTGTAAAAACAAGTTGTTATTCCCGCATTGTACCTGACGAAATTGTCGCCGGGTCGACAATTGATATTCCCCGGGCGCAACGAGCCGCGGATAGGCGGCAGATAAAAGCTCTTTTTATAGCTCCTTGCAGCTTCGTCATCTTATCATATGTGCCTTAAGATTGCTCTTATCGGAGCGCGGCCTGTGCGAGCGCATTCGCGATTTCATTGTTCGCCGAGAAGGAACAAGAGCACGTGTGCGATGCGCGCTTCTCTTTTTCCCTGCTTTTCTCAGCGACGGTGATGTACGGGGTCGGAGAGGACTCGGGGGGGGGGGGAGTTTCGTGCGTAATTTCGCAATTTGCGAACGCGACGAGCGAGGATAATTCACGTTTTGCGCTAACGGTAACATGACGTGTTAACGTCGGAGGGGAAGAGAAAAGCGTTCCGCCCGGGGGTTGTTTCTTGCGTTCTCCCCGGGATAACAACGCACGCGTGTTTGTCGTAAAATGCGGTTTTATGGGCGGCTGCCACGGATGTGGGTCGGCTGCTCTCGTGAGAGCGGAGCGCGTCCCTCGAGAGATCGGCGGAAAAAGCTGCGGCTTCGGGAGACGTAACGGTACGCTAACGTGCGTACACGCGAGAGCTACGCCGCGAACCGTGTGTGAATTCCACCGGAATTATTTCGGATCCGCGATCCTGTTTAATTCGCCGGAGAAGTCGGGGAGGAGAGAGCGCCGTCGGGGTTTCTCCGTTTAATAATATTAGGTTTGGCAGAGAGCTGCTTTAAGCCTCGGCAAGCATGTGTCGGATGAAGCACGCGGCACGGGGCATTGTGTGCATTCCGAGAAGAGATACAGAGGATCTTGGAGTCGAGCGTGTGTATTTTCTTAATGGGATCTTGGGGATTTTACCTTCGACGCCGCGCCTCTCGGTAGTTTCGTTTAGCGCGAGTTTTTCGAATTGACACCGAAGAATTCCGTTGCACTCGCAACAATATGATATTTTGCTTTTAGAGAGCTACGCCTCCTGATAATTTTATTTAATACGATTTGTAGAATTAGAACCGAGTGAATCCTTTATTAGATAACAATATATTTTACGTGCATTGAAATATGCGATACTATTTTGATCAATATGAAAGATCGGGGGGGAAACCGCTGAGAGTATTGCGGTGTGCAGATTTGCGGCGTTACTAGACCTTGCTGGGGCATTATAAAGATAAAACAAGATGAATAAGATGAAATAAGACAATAAAATAAGGTAATGCCCACTGGGCATTAGTGGGCATTGGTGTACAAGATTTTTGTCAGCGGTTTCCCCCTCGTTAAAGTTAAACAAAATAAATGATTTGCTAATATTGTTCGAAGAACTTCTACTTTGATAAGCCGAAGTATATCTTCGGATATTTGGACAAAGCGAGAATATCAAGCGAATGTGTTCTTACAAGATTTTAGAATTGTATTGTAATATTAAATGTCTATGTGCCGTTCTTATTCAATTTTTTCCGTTTTTTCGAATTTATTATAAAAAAATATACACGGAGAGAATCTTCTCTTGAAATTTACACTGAAAATCATGTAATCGTGGGACAACGTCGCATTTTGAAGAACTTTATGAGAGGTATTTTTAAGTTTCTACTAGTAAAATGTATGGTAAAATTTCCATTCTCATAAAATTCTCCGAAATGCCATTTTGTTCCACAATTACACAATTTTCAAGACAAATTTTTTTAAAAAAAATTCTCATCGTGTAAATTTAGAAAAATGAGTCCACGGAGAATTTCTGTGTACGATATTTCGATAATATACATGTCTCATATTGACATTTTATAATGAAGACAAACGTGGAACATGCGAGTACTGAATCGTGTTTCGATAATTTAGTAGTGAAAATTCAGAAGTGAATAAAAAAACCTGTTCGCTTTGTTACGTTTCTACAATAATTCCAGACCATTTATAACAGTCACCTACTACAACGCGTTGTACGTGTAACGTGTTAAAATGTCAAACTTTTGCCTAAATTTGAACCCATACATTTTTTTTCGTAACATCATGTCTATTTAAAAACATATATTTGCGTCAGCAGGTCGCGCCATCGGAGACGATACTTTATTCAAGTAAAAGAGAGAGAGAGAGAGAGAGAGAGAGAGAGAGAGAGAGAGAGAGAGAGAGAGAGAGAGAGAGAGAGGGAAGAATTAGGAATATTTTTTTAAGAACGGATCTTGCTTACGTCTGTTCTTTCTGAAATACGCGATTGTTACGTGAATGTGCATTTAATGAGGTTCAAATAGAACAGAATTAAATGTCTCTCGGGTAGAACGACGTACGCCGACACAGCAATTGTCGCTGCGAAGGGCAGAATACTAGAGACCCTGTGATCAGAGGCTGGCCATAAGAGTTCGTCAAATTCCTGCGAGTGAGAGAGAAACATAGGCTCACTCTTCTACGATTCTACGATCTTACTGACCATTATATGTATATTATATATTTCACAAAGAACAGTGTTGTTGAAAAACGGGCAACTTGTCAAGAATAGAAGTTTCACATTATTTGACACGATTCGTCATATTCATTTCGAAAGAATGACGTTTGAATAATACATATAATTTGCATCAAGGCCTTCTTTTTATGGAGTATTCGAAAGGTCTTTCGTTTAAACATGAACTCATAAAACCTCAACTCTTCTACGATCGTGGAAGAGTTAGATGGCCTATGTTTCTCTCTCGCTTGTAGAAATTTGACGAACTCTTATGGCCAGTCTCTGATTACAGGGTCTCTACGGAATAAGAGAGATCGAGATGCTCGAGCGCGATTCGGGGATGACAACGTGCGACTTCCCTCGCAGAAACCGCGACCTTATCGATCGGTTAATAGAGCACCCCTACGCAGACCAATCGCTCATTCCTCCCCGTGACCGCGGGGAGAATCGCCAAGATCGATACGCGAAGTTGCCGAGGCTCGTTCCGTCGACGATTGGTTTTTCGTCAGCAGTCGTATCGATGTCGAAGCTCGCCGTCCCGCGGCGCGCAAATCCGAATTACATCGCGCATTACATTAAAGTTGTCGAGACAACGTCCACTGCGTCCGAAAGGGTTTACGTAGCGTCGCACCGGAAGATAATCGCTCGATAAAGCACAAACCTCTCTCGCTCACTTTTGCATTCACTGTCTCTGTCGTGGATATTAAAAGTACGCGGTATTTGCGAGACGAGGGGAAAACGCTGTACGTGAAATACGTCAGATTGTGACGTTAAAAGGGATTTTTAACCTACGAAATTTCCGGCAAAATATCGCGGAAACGACGCAAATTGTTATTTATGTCGCGGGATACTGTCACTCCAACTTTGGAGTTCGTATTAATTGCAGTAGGAAGACTTTCGGCCGTTGGAGTTGAATTCAATCATGATTTTAATCAGGCAATTGTAATATCTCTGATTTACGTTAACAATTAAAAGTCTCGCGAGGAAAACATTTTTTTAAATTAAAACTTTCGGCACGTCGTTACAAGATGCTGAAATTTCCAACGTGGAAAACTCACTCGAGACCTTCAAGTACTATGTATATTGTATAGAGGAAAGTCCCCTATTATGGGACAGGCACCTAATATGAGATAGCGGGGTTTCCGCTAAATTAATAGACATCATCTGTCAATTCCACCATGAATTTTTTCCCGCGAAGTCTGTTCGGTGGAAAATTGATTGTAGATCGTGCAATCGTTGCGAAAAAAGATTTGCGATCGAATTTGGGCATTGAAAACCCACTACCTCACGTTAGAATCCTATCTCGTGACAGAGGACTTTCCTCCGAGGGGAAAACCGCTGAGGGCATTGCGGTGTACAGATTTGCGGCATTACTGGGCATTTTTTGGGCGTTAGTTTGGGCATTAGGCCTTGCTGGGACATTATAAAGATAAAATAAGATAAAACGAGGAAAAATAAGTGAAAATAAGATAATAAGATAAAGTAATGCCCACCGGGCATTAGTGGGCATTGGCGTACAAGATTTTGGTCAGCGGTTTCCCCCCTCGCTTTCCTCTATATATTGTTTCTTAACGAAGTAACCTTTAATCTTATCGTCTTGATTTCGCCGATCAATCGCTACATCTCCGAAACTTGAATTCTGTTTGCAGCCACGTCAGCGGTGATCGTCAAGTCGGAGAGCGAGCACCATCACCTGGCGAGTCTCTCCGGGGACAATATCCACGGGACGGGGGTGAGGATAGGACGCGGCGAGGACGCAGTCGCGGGTGGTAGCATCAGCCCCGTTATGGATTCGGCGCAATCGGCCATGATGAAGCAAGCGGACTACGTCGTAGGTCAGTGAACTGAACTCGCGACTTTTTCCCTCCTCCGGCCGCGAGTACGACGACGATTTCTCCGGTTCGACATTATCGTCCGACCCCAGCCGATAGGAAATAGTTGAATTGCGTATTGTTACCGTGCCGCGTCCCCCGTGTCGTCCAAGTGTACCGCGAATCCGCGACGATGCTCGCGCGAAGCCCGGCTCGTCCGCACGTGAAATGGAGGCCCCGCCGGGTTTGCATAATTTTTGGCGAGGCGAGGAAGTTTCTCGACGCTGACTTCGTAACGGCACGTATTTTCTAAATATAATCCGCCGGCGTTTGCGAAGAACACAGAGGCGCGAAAATAAAAAAATTCCCAAACTTTAAAAAATGTGTACACGTAACGAGGTGGATTTTTCGGAGAGATGAAAATTGTTTTTCAGAATTGAAGTAATGGCAGAAAACCAAACGGATTCTCTTTGCGTCCTCCTGGACTCGTTGATTTTATACAGTGACAGGTAATTTTCGTGAAAATTACAATACATTTTCCAAGCAAGATTGACCTTCACAATTTTACAATTAAAGTTTTTAACGAGACGTCAGCGTAACGCTTTATACGCGGAAGAAAGCTTCGAAGATCTTTTGCATTTTATCGAATCGGTATCGAGTCTCAGGAATTCTGGATCCAAATTGATTATTCCATTGTTGTTCCGACAATTCCGATTTTAGCCAGTCGCATTTCACGTGCAACGAGTTAATGACCCGAGTTACGTCGACAATGTTATCAGAAGCATCGCTGCTGGGAAGCGATGAAATCGATGCGCAGGTGATAAGATAAAGCGAAGCGGGCAGATTATTTTATCGCGAGTGATAAGTGCAAGATTCCCCTTGGAGAGCGTGTGCAAATCTCGATGTGACTCTCGAATTTGAAGGCTGCTAATTAGGAGCGATTAGTTTCGAGAGAGAAAAAGCGAGAGAGAGAGAGAGCAATCGATGTCGATGACGCGACGAGAGACGCGCTCTCGAATATCGCGATTGCGAAGTGGCTCGCAGTCACTCCCGGCACTGTTTTCGCACGATTTTATCAATAGAAATTCCCCAGCTACATCCCGCTCGAAACCGGAGTGCAATTGCACTCGGCTCGACACGCGGCTGACGCCATTATCTACTAGAAATGTGTGTCGCGCTTTCGAGGAAAGAAAAATTTTAGGAGGCAGGTGGAAACGTTGCGAGTTAACTTCCAAAAAAGGCTATTAACGCAGAAATGAGCCGCGCATATTAATAAATTTTTTGTGCGAAAATGACGATCGTTCTCCTTTTTTTTAACTGTACGCAAACATTACGGGGTAAACACGTTACATCGTTTCAAACTGTATCACATCGAGCGAATATTATTTTCGGCGCGAACGTGTCCTTTCTCTCAAGATTTACCTCGGAATTTCTGATTCAGGCGGGAAGTGTGCTCGGCACGGAATACGCCAATTTTCGTTTTGCGATAAGTATTGATTTACGAGCGAATCGATGTATCGACTCGGCCGAAGAGAGCGTAAGCGCCGGTAACGGCGACGTGATAAAAATATCCAATTGCAAACGGACGAGGCAGGAAGGCCTCGCGCGCGCGCGCGCGGAAAGAAACTCCAGTCGCTCGCTCGTAGCGTCCAAAGTTCAGTATGCCACGGTTGATGACGCTCAGCGAGGAGAGATGATGACGTGAGATCCGAGACAGATGATGGAGCCTGCCGCGTGCGAGCGATCGGCACTGCCGTCGTTATAAATTTTTCATGCCGCCGCGGTACGCGATTTTATTGTCGTGTTAGTACAAACGTTTTGTTATTGTATTGTCAATCAGCTGTTTTTCAACACGCGAGTGATACGATTACGGATACCGTCTCGAAACGATCGGATATCTCGACGCGACCGACGTACGCGGATTAATTGAGAATTAATGGGTATTGTCGTTGATATAATTATTATTTGGTATTCAAAATTCATTCGAATGTTGTATTAATTAATGCATGTCTCAGCGGTCGAATTGGTGAGACGCCTAGAGTTTAGGGAAAAGTCCAGGTTCACACCCTGGCCGAGGTAATATTTTTTGCAATAAATTTTCTGTATTATTAAAAATGATATGGTCAAGGGTACGCTAACGTTATGTTAATTTTCCCTCGTAAGGCTTTTTCTGAAGTGAATCTTTCCATCGACAATTGGGAAAACTGATCAGTATGCGTGTAAAAGGTTATCTTAATGTTATGCGTATCGTCCACAATGCGTGGAGTAAGAAAGAAACCCATAACCTTTAGCTTTTGGCGCAAGGAAGAAAATATAGACGTAATTTTTACAATATTCGTAACACCGGCCGACGGCGGTCCGATTCGCCGAGAGCTGAGCGTAAGAGCTCAAGTAGGAGTAAGAAATAAAACTGATTTATTTCCTTACTCCTGCTCCTTACGCTAGGCCTGCTCCATGCGTTGTAGACGACGCTTTAAAATTAGTTGGAACGTTGTATCGTGGCAGGGACAATTCTTTTCTCGGGTAAAATATTTTCCGTCGGTTCCCGGAATAGTTTCGACGTTACAAAAACGTTTCCCGACAACGAGTTTTGCAGTTTACCGTCGTCAGCGTCACAAGTGCGCGCCGCGAATATTAATTTTTCACGCCGGCTCGTTTCGCCGGGCGACGAATAATTTTATTAGCGCGCGGAATACCGGCAGCAATTCGCGATGTGAGAGGTTCTGAACGCGCGCGATCAAAGTGTATCGCTAAATCGAATCAGCGCGATGACACAGCACGTTAGTCAATCGACATTAATCAAATCTGCATTATGTTACAGATGTTGTGCTGCCAACGGTCCTAATTGCTTTGCTATTCGTCGGCAATGCGATCATCGTTTATATCATCTTCCAGTTTAGAAAGAGGTAAGTGAACTCGCTCATCGCATTTCATTGAGGTATTTGCTAAATATAGAAAGACGCTGGTCGGACGGACGAAATTTTTGGACGACGCGACTACATGTTTGTGGAAAAAAAGCGAATATTTCAGCGGCATAATTGATGTCAACATTTTTGTCCAATTTCGGCTTCAAGTCTGTTTAATATTTAAGTATGATAAATACCGCAAGGATCAAGGATTCTACGGTTGCATTCGTCGTCCACGTTTCTTAACCGAAGACTCTGCGTTTTTATTCTTTCGTTTTTGGTGTATTTAATGTATACTTCGTATACATTTGATATAATTTTCGACGATTTCTATCACCTCGGGAATAAATTGAAAATTTTCAAACTCACCGGTACGATGCGCAGCAGCGGAGTTGTAATAATAATCTGTAAAAGAGAATTGCGTTTAAGTTACGACGGTGCTTTGGAAAACAATTAATATTTGAGAAATAATTATCGCGCGTCTCGAAGTCTTCCATTTTTCATTCCTCTAAACGGATCTCGGCGAGATCATTCTTAAACAAAGATTTGCGTGGAGTTTTTTTTAAATTTAATTAACGCTCTAATTGACAATTCGTTGAAATAATCATAAATCTTGAAAAAAAATGCAAATATTCATAAATATTGAATCTTACTTGCAATCTCTTAAATATATTTGCAATGAAAATAATTTAAAGTATATTATTTGCATTATGTTATTTAATAAAATGTCGTTTTGCCGCCGAGATCAACAGAAAGCAAGTATAAAATAATAAATTAGCCAAGTCGGCAGATCTCAAATATTTCACACGCCTTGCGTTATTTAATTAAATAGCATTTTATCGCCGAGATTAACAGAAAACAAGTATGAGATAATAAATCAACTAATTGTAAGTCGGCAGATGTAAAATATTTCACGCGCACTGCGTTCTTTAATAAAATGGCGCTTTATCGCCGACAATAACTGGAAACGAGTGTAAAACAATGCCGGGAGTATAAAATAACAAATTGCTTACCCTACGGTTGCTCCGCCGTTGCCCGACGCCTCCCCGGGCCACCTCCTCCTCTCTCTTTCCGTCCCATTGCTACCGTGGAGAGATCCTTCACAAGTTCACGACACTCACACACACACACGCGCGTGTCGATCGTCCCGCGATATTTAACCACAGTATATCGTTCTTTCATCCTTTCCCCCCCGCAATATTTCAACGATGACGGGACGAATATTTCGCGACAGGCTTTCCCTCCCCCGCGATCCGAAGCGACACCCAACGGCGTCCGAGAGCTTTCGACGCGAAAAGTACACCTCGAGGCTCGAGACGGCCCAGCGGATTCCCCGGCTCGAAAATACTTCGCGTTTTCCCCCCTTCGGCCGACTTAGGCTGATGGCAGAGGACGACAAACGCCTAATAAAGTCGTACGACAAACGTAATGCCGGGCCTTAAAGACAGCTCCGTGCCTACCTCAAATACGCGAAGCGGGATCGGGACGCCGCAAACATGGCCGCCGTTTTTCGGCCGGTAACGGACCTTGACCGAGTACCCCCCCCCGCCCCGCCCATCCACCCACGATTTTCGCCAACGTCGTTTAACTTCGATCTCGGTTAAAATCGTCTTTTGTCTCTTTTCGCGGAAAGACAGAAGAGACCGAGGATGAATTGAACGCGAAAGACGCCCGGATTAATCGGCGACGCCGCGCGAGCGACGCGGGCGTCGAGTCGCGCGCGGCTAATCGCGACTCCGCTTACCCAATCGGGCGCGTCGCGACGCGCCCGGCCACGGCTCCGGTGCCCGAGGTCCCCTCGTCCTCGGCTCTCCATCCGAGGGGTCAGCCCCGCGTCGTCGGCGACCGGGGGATTCGAATACCTACGCTGCAACTTGGCGCCGAGAGGACACCGGCCGGAATCAACCGAGGATTTACCGCGATCCAGATTCGATGTCGCGCGGGCGACGCGTGCGACACTTGGAGCCGCGTCCCGTGAAACGCGCGCCCCCTAGCGAGAAATCGCTCGCGCCCGTTTCTACCGATGCAGATCCAACTTTAATCCGGGCTGAAATTACCTCCCGGGGTCAATTCGGTATCTTACGATACGAGGTCTGTTCGCGTGACCCACATGCTCCTTGCTCGCCCCAACGACCAATGCCGTCGTTTTATTCACGGTCTAAGTACTCTAAGTGACGGCATTGGTCGTCGGGGCAAGCAGGAGCATATATGTTGGAGCACGCGGCGCGAACAGACCTGTAAACGAGAACGAAACGAAAAGCCCGTATTAAACTACGGATTGAGATTGGGATTAGATTGAAATTTGACCAATCACAGTAAAGTTTACTAATCGCAAGTTTAGTAACTTTTAGTCTAATTGGTCAAATCTCAATCCAATCTCAATCTCGATCCGTAGTCTGATACGGGCCCGATTTCACCAGACGCCGTTTAACTTTAATCTTCGTTTCATTCACGTTTGTCTCTTTCTCTCTCTAAAGGCTGATCTACAACGTGTCCTTTGCGTCTAGAAACATTCTATTTCCTAGCCAATAATTACGTTTACAAAATTTGGGCAAGTTGATAAATTGTCGACAAGTTTGTTAAGCGTTTCGATTTGTTTACATAAAATAGAATGTTTCTAGATGCAGAAAGCACATTGTAGATTAGGCTTCAAGTAACAGAAAGAAACAAAGAATGAATTAAGCTAATTGTAAGCTTAAAGTTAAGCAACGTTGGTGAAACCAGGCCCAAAGGTGCAAGTTGGCACGGAGCTTTACGCGAGACCTCGAGACCCTCCTCTTTCGTCCCGCTGCCTGTTCTCGCGCGAGTCAATGGCGCGAGACCGACGGACGTTTCAACGAGCAGCCCCGATTCCCACGCGGGTTGCTCGAGTAATCGCGAGAGAGATAATTGCCCGCGGGAATCCCCCTCGCCTCGAGGTGTAACGACGCGATGATGTACGGAGCGACTCGCGTCACACGTTCAATCCGCTCGAGCTCCGCGACGCGAATGACAAGGTCGCGGCGGTTGGAGCGGCGCAACGGCGGCGGGCGGCAGCGGCGGCGACAACGGTTCGCCGTACAAACAACAACACGGCACGCGCCGCGCGGCGTATCGCCCGAATGTAAACATACGCCGCCGAACGTTCCGATTATTCCGCGAATTACAATATTTCCGTTTCGGGTTCCGATTCGAACAAACGTTGAATCTATTCTGCTCGAAGGGCGTTTTATTCTGAACGAACTGTGCTATTTTTCCTGCTCGATTGCTTGCAATCTAATAAATTGCTATCATTGCACCACTCGGCACTCAGGATTTCTAGTAATTTACTAAATCGCAAGCAATCCAGCAGGTAAAATAGCATCGTCTGCAGCGGGCTTAATATACAAATCAAATGGCTTACGTGTACAGACCGAAAGCAGCTTGCTATTCCGGCCGAAGCCCTTTCGTATGAATTTAGGCACGAGTAGAACGCGTACCCAGCGAGAAATGATCGATGGTCGGTTCGATATCGTTTCGATAAATCGTTTCTCACTGGGTTGTACATTTTCCACGTATGTATATTCAAAATGTATAGATGTGTCGATACGCGCACAAATTCATGCGGGGAGGCATCGGCGATTCCTAGTGTACACTGTACAGTTTTAATTAAAATTGCACGCGCGGCGCGCACCCAGTGAGAAATGATTCGCCGATCGATGTCGAAACGATGTCGAATCGACATCGACACCGTCAAATCGACTCTCGCTGGGTATTGTGGAAAACATTTGAGAAATTAGAACGCAATCCCAGTGAGAAATGACCCGTCGATCGATGTCGAAACGATGTCGATCAATGAATCATTTCGCAAGGCCCACGATGCTAGAACTTGATTCCAGTTCTAATTTCGAGGAATGTGTAGCCAATCAACTTGCAGCTACTCCATAAAACCTGCACGGTGATTGGATACACATTTCTTGGACCAAGTTCGCCGGGATACGCGCGTAAGGTGTACAGTGAAATGTATTACTCGAACGTAAAATTATAAATATGTCCGCGTGTAAAATTATAAACAGAAACGCCGTCCTGAATTCTGGCGGAAATAATAAATCGTTTAAAGCGACTTTCGCAAATGTAACTCGAGATAAATAGATTCCGTTCTGAAATATCTCGACGTGAATTGTAAATCGTTTAAGGTTCCCGTTTTTATTACTCAACAAGAAATTTAATAAAGTGTGCACATCAACGCGTACATACACCGAGATGAATAAATAAAGTGCTGACGTTAATTCCGTCCGAAATTCTGATGCAAGCTGTAAATCGTCTAACGCGGTCGTCGCGAATGCGAAATGAATAAAGCTTTCGCGCACACGCATCAGAATGCAAGTCGTAAATAAATCTTGAAGAGAACGTAAAGAGAAATTTTAAATAGCGCTCCGTTCTGGATTCTGACATAAATTAAGCGTCTCGCTCGGAGCCACGTGAATGACTGAGTTAACGTGGTCGCTGTCAACGGCCACGTATGTTCGTGCTGCGAAAAAAGAAGCGGCGTCGGGCCACGTAGACACTCGGCGCGTCGCGGAATACGAGGAATAGGTACACGAAATACACCCCCGTCTCTCTGCGTGACTCTCGCGTGAATACGCACGTTTCGAATTGATTGCGACGAGCGAGAGCTGATGCCGCCCGCGTTCACGCGGGCCCATTAGCACCGCATTAATTCCTGTTAACGTGACACGTTTTGGAAATTCAAGGAACGTTGCCTGAATTCGCTAATTGGACGTTGCGATCCGATCGGCGTACGAAATAACGCGCGGATTGTCCTCGAGTGTATATGCATTAGGGTACTATTACAATTTGCCGTACGACAAATTTGTAAAGCACATTGATTGACCACAAGCTAGAAAATTTCTAGATACCGGAGAACTTTTCTATCCCGCAGCCAATCGACACGCTTGAACAGTTTGTCGAAATTTTTTTCAAAGCTGAGATAGAAACAGTAATAAATCTGTCAATGTTATCCGCTGTAAAAAGTGCAGCACTTATTACTTATGTATCTGCTGAATATACGTGAGAGACAATAAAAACACGTCTCTTTTTCTGTTTCAGAAAGCTCTCGGCCACGACGCAGGGCGAAGAGATGGCCCTGCGGGGCCCACCTGACGTGCCCAACGTGTGATTCCAGGGGCTCGGACTAATCGCGCACATGGCCACCGGTACGGACGAAACGTTTATACCGATGTCCACGTGGAGCTCGGGGATTATCGCGAAAACGCCGCAGGATCGTTCCCCGAAGGACCCCAACGTCCTTACGATGATGCCGTGCAATTAGCAGAGAGGCCTGCGCCCGAAGAAACGAGGAGAGATCCGTCTTTTCGCAGCATTCTCGAAGTCGTGCGCGTGTACATCCTGTAGCGCGCCAGGCGCAGAACTAGACTGCTCGAATTTCCAAGAGATCTTTCCTCCGCCTAAATTCAGAGAAATAAATTTTTTTGTCGGACGACGCTACGCTTGACATAAAAAAAAACGCGCGAAGAATAGAAATTCAGCCGAGATCCTGTATTTCTTATTCCTCGTACGTTTTCTGCTAAGCGTATCTGATTGATTGCCATTTCACGTTGACAGCAATATGCAACCCTAAACACACTACATTCGCTAGGATTTGTTTTGAGAAATGACATTCAAAAATGTAGCTGCGCTTAGAGCAACATACGTTGTCAAAATAAGGCCCAGTGTCTCATGAGAGCGTATTAAGTATAAATGGACTGTATTGGTTCGACGCCATGTAACTCGCGAGCCTATTACATCTTACACGTATGCATATTTACGTTACTCTGTATTATAATGTAAGGAAATAATATATTCTATACTTCGTCCAAGATTGTAGATAAGAGTTAATAATAAATCAACCGTTTTCGTACCAGTGTTAAAACTTTATTTTCAACCAGTTTTTCTTTCAATTCAGATTTTAAAATACTTCCTCGTCAATATTAAACCGTTATTCAGGAATCTTTAAGGATTCAAAAGACTAAACAAGCTACTCTATCAAATTAGCTCTCATGTCTCTCGTGCATTTTCTATTTGATACTTATTTCTTTATTTCCTATATATCATAATAATCCAATAGAGTTTTATATAAGAATCAAAAATTAAATTATACACATAGTAAAACTTTAGATACTTAAATGTCTTTAAGAGACTTCATTCCATGTTATTTATAGAAAAAATTGTCTTACAAAACCTATTTACATACAGGGGGTGGACAAAATAATGTGAACACTTGACTAACACACAATATTTGTTAATTGATAAGGTGTAGAGTCACCGTTTGCTTACAGCTGTCTTAAAAGCTGTCTAAAAATTCGTCGTGGAATAGATTTTGCACCCACTTCTTCTCTTCGCAGATATTATTTTGTGTAGGCTGTCATCACCGTGGATACTGTCATTCGTGAAACGTTAAACGGTTCAGCCGTTTTCGTCACAGGTGCTCCTGCTAACCGAGGACCCACGATTTGGCCTCTTTCTGACAGGTCGCCCATTTCACCATCCGATTGTTAACACCGTCGTAGAACAAAACGAGTAGTTTTGCCAGAACTTATACATGAACTCGTAGACAAAACGATAAGTAAGTAATTCATTTATTTATCAAAGTACATTTCCAAAAACGTGAAGTTGTGTGGATACATCGATAATTTATGGATGCGAATACGGATTTAACCTAATGTATAAAATCTTAAGGTATAGTTAAAATAACCATATGTCATTTGCCGCAATAACTTATTCGAGTGAGGCATCAATTGTCTGACTTACTTTGTACGCCCTCAACACTAGCACAATATTAGGTACCAGTATAAGGACATTTACGACGTGACTACGTCCACGCTGGAAAGCCTTCCGCACTACAGAATGACGGCTGTGCAGTTTCTCAGCAAGCTCCTGTCGTGCGAGGATTTCATCAATCGCTTAACTGTGCGCACCAAAAATGAAACATACAACATAAATAAATCCTGCGATCAACTGGTGATCGAGATAATCCCGTTGATTCAAATAATCTTGAACGCCGCCGATCATCTTCAGAATAAGCCGAGTGCCGAATATTGGAAGGTGCTATTTCATTATATGTACGATATGTTGGAGTTGGTGTACAATCTCCCAGTGAGAAATGATTCGTCGAATCGACATCATTTCGACGTCGATCGATGAATCATTTCTCTTCAGTCTTAAGTTCAACAATTCTATAGCGTTTTTCTTCACTGGTCATTCGTACTTTAATAGATTCGTAATGCTCTCCAGCAATAGAATATCGCGATTTTTTCCGTGGTATAAAATGTGTGAGGAGTTATTCCGCGAGACCGATTAGAGGAGTAAACCCCTATATCAGAAAGTACCACTCCATAACATCACGCTTATATGCATTATCGTGGGAAGAAAAAATGTGTTGTGTGCGGTGTAAACAGGAATTGGTGCACGTGAAAAGGGCGATACATTGTAGACAGTGTATAGAGGAATTTTTAGAGAGCGAAGAGAATTTTATAATACGAAACAACGTAAGCATGAATTACGAGACGGAAACAATAAAACGTTATTAACTAAAATATTCCTCGATACACTGTCTACAGAATATGGTTGTAAAATATTTTATAACTAGCCCAGTGAGAAATGATTCGTCGATCGAAATGATGTCGAATCGACGTCAATTCGACGGTGTCGATGTCGATCGACGAATCATTTCTCACTGGGCTGCTACCAAATATCCTATTGCTGGAGAGTATTACGAATCTATTGAAGTATGAATGACCTGTGAAGAAGAAAGCTATAGAATTGTTGAACTTAAGACTGCTGCAGAAGAAATTTGGTAACGATATTCATGGAGATCTACTAAGTGTGATCGTACCTATGATGAAAGTCTTCAAAAACCAACCTGAAGACAAGACTCAAGAGATCGTACAGCAGACAGCGTTGTCATATATGAAGCTGCTGGTACAATCACTGGCCGTTGATAACTTTCATGTTTTTATAGAGGTAGACATGTTTAAATATTAATTGTGTATTAATGATTATCTGCAGAGTCGGAATGATGGAATTATTGATAGTGAAAGATGTTCCAGTATTGGCCAGTGCAGCGTTGTGCGTAGCAGAACTACTTAGTTCTTCTTAGTAAAATTTGTTCCGGTGTTGTTGACGTTACTCAGAACTTAGTTTACGAATTTACCCATACAGCACAAATTGTTACAGAAAGGTTTCAGAAAGATTTCAAAATTATTTCAATATTTCACATTTCATTGTAACGTACGTGTAAATCAGCATAAAACTTTTGAATTAAAACTTTTGAATCTAAAATAAATCAGAAGAAAAATTATCGGACTCTTACAGTAATGGGCATACCAATGATATTGATTAATAATCAAGTTTCTCTGTGGGAGACAACGCGATCGTCTATCGTATTACAACCCGAGCGAAGCAGGTACCATGGTAGCAGGGATAACTGTTGCCAGGGTGGTGTTTCGAACAGAGAACACCTTCCTCCTCCACTTAAAATATCGTGGGGGGATTCAACTATAAATATAAGGAGAATCTTCGGGACAGCAGCAGTTAGTTGCCTTTAGCTTTTGAGTTTTGAGCTTTAAGCTTTTAACTGTAGAGTCAGACAGTTTTAGATAAACAGACCTAAGACTTAGTTGTTTTAACTGTTGATTCGAATTTATTCCGATTCAAGGAATTGTTCACTTTAAAATAAAGTAAGCTTTAGTATTAATTAACAACAATTCATTTCAAAATCCTCCATTTCATCTGATCGCTGCCTAATTGTGTGGCGAATAGATTTCCTAAGTCAATTTGATCGCTGCCAATAGAGTGGCGGACAAAGCATCAATCTCCTACCTTTATCCTTGTGACAAGAAAGAAAGGCGGAAAACGCGTACAACTCAAGAGAATTAAATACCAAATTAAGGAACCAGGACCAGGACCAGGTGGGAAGCGAGATCACGGCGTATCACGAGCAGCGATAGGCCAAAAGTATGGCACCCCCCTCTCCGGGGTCCACGCTGCCGGGATAGAAAAGCGGAGCATATACTTTGCGACGCGCTCTCCTGTTTGAACCGTCGACCGCCGCACGCGCAAAATAGAGATAGTTTCATTTAAAGAAATACAGTGTACGTTATTCCACCCCGCCTAAAAGGAAAGATACATCATATATTTTTCGTTTATATGAAATAAACTAACACATATGTCATTAATTAACCTGGTTGATTAATTTAAAACCCCTCATCTCATTCCCTATCCTTTCAAAGATTGCAAAAGGTCCGGCCCTGGGTAAAAGGGATTTAATTCCTTGACCCGAAATAGGACCTACGAGCGCACTGGTTTCGACGAGCCGTCATAGCGGACTTTAGCACGCTGACCCACTTCAAACTTAGCAATAAGTGCATTCGACTCGCACCACGCGTTCCTTATCGTACGGTGGCAAGACAAAGTGATATCCGTTCAGCGCCCTCCCGTACCTCTATCTCTTCCCTCACCCTCTTGTCGATCTTGATAAAGGGATCCGAGGTTCGGACGCCCCGCGTAAAACACTTACAATGCTGATGACTGTTACAAACGGGTCAGAGTTTCTATCAAATTCACAATCGGTACGAATTTATTTAGTAAGTGCACAGTATGCGTTCCTATTGAACTGCATAAATCTGCTACGCACCATGCTCACACTCTGATGATTATCAGATTCCTACTCTGCAGAGGTAATCATTAAAGCACAATACCTTCAATACTGGGATTCGGCTTATTTTGATGATGATCAGCGGCGTTCAAGATGATTTGAATCAACGGGATTATCTCGATCACCAGTCACAGGACTTATCCATATTATCTGTCTCGTCCTGGTTCAGCACGGCCATGCAACTGATGAAATCTTCAGACGACAGGAGCCTACTGAGAAACTGCACAGCCGTCATTCTGTAGCGCCAAAGGCTTTTCGGCGTGGACACATTGGTCACATCGTAAATTGTCGCAATAAGCTCATGTAAAGAATTTTTTATAAGAATGAAAGACAAAATGATACCCATACTAAAAATGTAGACACTTAAATTTCTCTACGATTCTCCATCACACGGTATTTATGGAAAAAAATTTTATTATAATAGAAAACCTAGCAATTTACATCTACATACATATATATACATATATACATATACATACTTATTATACGTTATATAAATAAATAACTTACATATAAATCCAGCATACATAAGTTATATGTAAACAATTTATATATATAACACAAATCTAATTTATATTAATATATTTATATGCATAAATATTGTCTATGTATACATATATGCATATATACGCATTTATATATTCAGTCTAATTTATACTTAAAAAAATTTAAAAATATTTCTGTAATTGCTCGCCTAAAATTTCTTCTAAAGTGCAAACAGCATTCTGCGCACACTTCTCTGTAGCTTCGTCTTCATCTTCCAACATCTCCGATAAAAATGGCAGAGTTTCCGGCAACAATGGCATAAAATCTTCACCGAGTTTCCTTGCGATTTCCACCTAAATCATAAGGAAAAATAATTGTTGAAAAATAAACAAAAATTATTTAAAAGTACTCGAAATACACACAACAACAGTTTGGCAGTTTAATTTTTTCGTACAGTATACGATCAAGTGTAACTGTACAAGCCACACAAATAATTTTTACTATAAAACACACTAATCTTTTATTATATTTTACTTAATGTGTTACGCGCAAGAAATAAAAACTATAACAATAGTTTATTGTATATGTCTTGCCATATGCAAATAATAAAAATAAAAATTTCACTGTACAACAACTCTATACCTTACGTCTAAATTAAACTGGATTAATCATCATATTCGATGTTACCAATGCTTTCAAAGCGGTGCTCCTGACGTAAGGCTTTGCGTGCCTCGTCTTCAGCAACGTCTGGTAGACTAGTTGTTTGTGCAGTGAATCGTCCGAAATGGCGCTGGCAAAAGCTGCTATGCAAGGTACAATGAGGCGGTTAGCTCGACTCTCGTATTCCTCTCTCGTGCCCATTGTATTTTCCACCTGATCCACTATCGGTTGCATGAGAATCTCGAATCGGTCCTGACTGACGAAGTTATGTACATCGTAACCGAATACTCGGTGAAGCGTCAGCAGAATCGCCTCTATCAACTCAATTCTGCTCGATTCATCGGGAAGTGTTAATGCCTGCGGGGTATCCGTTACGAATGTGTTGTTACTGCTCAGCAATGATGCTGCATGCTTCAAAAAGAGCTCAGCGAACAAAACGAACAAGGACTTCAGGCACTCTGCTATATTTGCCGATAATCTAAAAAGAAAAAGTAATTTAAAGTTACACTCTTGCAAAAACTGGTGAACACTTTATATATATATATAAAATAAATACATAATTTTTCAGATTTATGTCGTGTTAAGGAATAATCATATGTATTTTTAAAGCTCTTGAAGAGTTATTTGTAACTAAAGTACAAAATTCAATTGACATTTATGTCAACTAGATAATACCAAGAATCACTTAATTTCACTAGTATTAATGCAATACTAGAATTGGAATTTTATTATTATTGTCACTTTTATTAATATAATATGTAATATAATTAATTCATTTTAACATACAATTATCACATAATAATTGGCAAGAACTGTTTTGATATACAGGCAACTGTAAGTTAATGGACAACATAATGAACTAATTAATGGATTATTTGATTTGATAATGTTCATACCTGTAGAACGTTATATTTCGCTGCTTGTGCTGCGTATCAATCGCTGCCCATTCATAGAGCATGTCATAAAACGGTCTAAATGTTACCTCGCTCAACTTCAAGAGCAATGCCACCAATGCCTTACTGGCGCTTTCCTCAACCGCAACGATGTGACATTTTAAGGAAACTTGCGAGTTGTACTCATCCATCTCCATATCATTCTCCGTTCTTTCGCGAAATTCGAGAACCTTGAGGAAGAAACCGGTGAGGTTGTCGATCTCTTCCTTCAGTTCCTTTGGTTGCATATCGTCAAAAGACTCGGTTAGCACATTCATCAATGACGGTATGCATTCGTAAGTCTTCTTGTTTAATAGCGTTTCGTAAGTTTCGCTAACAGAAGGCAGCAACACTCGCAGAGGTAAACAAGACGCTAAGTCGTGCGTCGTTGCTTTGAGTCGTGAAAGAACGATACTGGCCTATGAAGACATAAACGAAGAGCGATTAAAATTTAAGAGAAAACAACAAAATTTCTGCAGTAAATTCTAAAGTAATATTAGAACTTTTTAACTGGGATAAATACCTTGGGATGCTCCATATTAGTATATCGTGAGCTCAGCATCGTCAGTTCAAACAATAGTTGGTCCAAGTAGGGCGATAGAAAATTTCCCAGGGACTCCACTATCTTTTGCAAAGCACTTACGATGCTGATGATTGTTACGTCCGGCGAATTCTGATGGCAATGAGTTTTTAGTAAATTCAAAATCGTAGGTACGAATTTATTTAGTAAGTGCAGCGCATGCGTTCCCATTGAACTGCATAATTCCGCTACGCCCAAGGCTGCACTGGCCAATACTGGGCCATCTTTCAGCAGCAATAATTTTGTCATCAGATCCAAACTCTGCGGATAATCATTAATACATATAATAGTAAATAATAATAATGATACTTAATAATATTAATGTTTATTTCTCTAAAGAAAAAATTATTAAACACGTTACCAAAATGTTAAAAATATTAATATTAAATAAAAATTTGAGTAAATATACTTACTGGTAGAAAAACATCAGGGTGATCAACGGCCAGTAATTTCGCTAGCAGCTTCATAGATATTAAAGCTGTCTGTTGTACAATCTCTTGATCTTGGTTTTTAGTTTCTTCTTTGAAGAATTTTGCCAAAGGTTCGATCAAACTCAGAAGATCTCCGTGCATTTCCTTACCAAATTTCTTCTGGAGCAATCTTGTGTTTAACAATTCAATAGCTTTTTTCTTCACTGGCCATTCATGTTTTAGTAGATTCTTAATACTCTCCAGAAATAGAATATTTGGCAACAGATTGTAAACCAACTCCAACATGTCGTACACATGATGCAGTAGCACCTTCCAATATTTGGCACTCGGCTTATTCTGATGCTGATCGGCGGCATTCAAGATGATCTGAATCAACAGGATTATCTCGATCGCCAGTTGATCGCAGAAATTGTTCATATTGTCTGTCTCGTCCTGGTTTAGCATGGCCATGCGATTGATGAAATTCTCAGACGAAAGGAGCTGGCACAGAAACTGCACAGCCGTCATCTTGTAGTGTCTAAGGCTTTTCGGCGTCGACCTGGTTACATCGTAAATATCTTTGTACTGAAATTTCATCGCCTCTCTTCTGCCCTGCTCTTCCTCGAGATCGATCGGCAAGATTCTAATAAACTTGACCACCTTGGTGCAAATCTAAAACAAAAATGGAGAATGTTTCTTGTTACACCTTTTTTCAATGACCAAATAGGATAATGTTTTTATAATAAAAATTTAAGCTTGTTTTATGTAATGTAAGGAGAGTAACGGACCGATACAAGCAACAAGAAAATATTGTTAATTCGCAATTTATCTTCAAATAGTGATCAAGTAATCGTTTCAAGCCTATTTAGCTATTTTACCGAACCGTTTTACTGGGTCACTGCACGAAAATAAATTACAAAATACCGCATCTATTTGTCGCTGGCGGAGTTGGCCCACAAGTCTGTTTATATTTAATTTTTTTTTAAAGTTACATCATTAAAATATTATGTTATTAAAATTTTATCGAAAATTGCCATGCTCCTCAATTTCAGGTCACAATGATTTTCAAGAACTCACCTCGAGCAACCGAAGCGGCGGGAATTTCTGAGATATTTGAAGAGCAAAGTCCAACCATTGCGTAGATTGTTCGTTCTTCTGACTCGCGAGTCTCATTACGTGGGTGTTGAAAGTCAGTAAATAAAACAAATGCAAATGGTTATCAAGAAGCTGCAACAATTTGACAAAGAGCGGCATGCGCCTGTGTTCAGGTATATGAGGCAACGAGCCGATAAAGGTCCTCAGTAACTCGCAGGCTTGTGACGTATTGTCGGTCGTGTTTATGATCGGCACTATTGTCTCCAGAGTCTTAGAGATAATTTGAATGGAGTATGCATCATCCTGACGCACTATCGTGCTGCCCATAAACGTGAAGATGGGCATGAGATGGATGAGAGCGCGATGCACGTCCATCTTCTTCAAGAATTCCACCAGCACCAGCAAAGCGTGATAATGGGTCTGCGGATTGCGTGACAGCCTGATGCATTTGACAATGAGGCTGATTCGCGAACTGGCATCACGCATTGGCAGCTCTTTCAGCATCATGCGATACATTGTCGAGAGAAGCAACTGATTTGTGTAATCAACCGGGCTCTGTTCCTCCAGGCTCAAACAAACGTTCAACAGGTTAAATAGAATATCATAGAGCTGTTCTTCACGTTTGATTTTTTCCGCCCGCTCTACGAACTCCAGCAGGCAGAGCCCGCGCTTCCACGTCCGACTGTGGACCATCGCCGGGTGTGCCAATTGGATATGACTTTGTCGCTTCTTCCGTTTTTTCATGCTCGACGATGCCTCCAGGTTTGTTGACTCCTCCTGAATCTGGCCACTCATCTTCATCGCCTCCAGCTCTGGGATCAGGACTGACGCATCAATGCCGCGTATACAATAGTGTTCGAGGACACTGCTTGCAACGGAGACCAGTTTGCTGACCTCGCAATCGATCATCACATCCAGTATCATGGAAAGAATGCGCACCTGGAAATCGTCAGTTAGCATGTCAAAGATACAACTGAACCGTTTTAGTACGATAGCGCACGGCGGCTTGAGTTTGTTCTGCAGGCTGCTGTCCAAGACCGCACAGGGTTCGTAAACCAAGATACTCTTCTGGAAAAGCAACCATACTGTTTCGTCCTTCAAAGCATCTAGCGTGTCTCCGGCAAGACGGTCTAGTATATTTCGTAAAGCGCTACCGGCCGATCGATTTTCTGGATTCTCCGCAAGTTTTTGTAAAAGCTGAAGACCCATCGGAGCCAGTTGCTGAAGGATTTCGGTGCTGTTAACGGCCATCAGGATGTCAAGCAGCTGTGCTCGTCGATCCAAAGGAATTTTTGCTGATTCGTCGTCCTGTATCGCCACTTTAAATAAGAGCTTCCGAATATGTTTCAGCTGTTTATGTTCTTTCATCTCATGAGACAACGAATTTGGAGATAAGAAGATGTAGCAACCATATGTAAGACGCTGAGGGTCATTGCAGATCCACGAAGACTCTGTTTTCGTCAGTTTCTGTAAAAACACGAAGGACGGTTCCGCGTCGAGGGTAAAGGTTCGTGTTAGTTTGTTCAAAACTTGCAGCGTCACTTTTCTGCATGCGTCGTTTTGTCTCGACAACGAAAGCAGCAAATTGATTACAAAATCCTGATCATGGAATGCCCATTGGACGGATTTACACTGATCCAGCAGCAGTAGAGAAATCTGCAAACAGTGATAGGACGTTTGCGCTGTGACGGGTGGTGCATAGAACTGCGCGAGAAAGCAGATGGTATCTTTCGCCGTGGCAAAATGTAGCTGGAAGAAGATTTCTAAACATCTGGAGTAGTGCTTATGCCAGCGTCGATTATTTAAGCCTTCGAAAATCATCTCTAGGAGTCGTAAGATTAGATTGCTTCGCTCCGTATTATCGTCAAAGTCGAGTTTTGGCTCAGACTTGATGTTCAACCGCCTGTGTACCATTTCGAGAACGTAAGTGCCCACTTGAAGCGGCAGAATTCCCTCAGATGTGAGTTTCAGTGCCATTTGAATATTGTCACCGGTGATGTTGTTGCAGTTGCGCAATAGCTTAACGCGTGGATATGTCTTGATCATCTTCGTGGCCATCTCAATGACTTCCCGCGCAGTTCTGGCCGGCAACATGCCCACGGGTACCCTACAAACCGATCCTAGTAGAATCATGTTGAAGAAAAGAGACGCCGCGTCACCGTGCAGCATTTGTTGTTGCATAGAACTTAGTATGCTTTCGGTGGGTGGTAGCAGCGCACAGTTTAAGATGTTGTGAAAAGCAGCAGAGGACACTGCTTCGGCGTTCACCTTGTTATTGTTACACCTTCTTACACTACTGATATCATTTACCACCTGCTGCATATACTTATTGTTCATGGCAAAGTTCGAATTTAGAACTTCCATAGCAATGTCTACATCGTCGTCCGTAGCAGGAAATAAGTACGGTAAAGCCGCGATGAAGACGCAGGTATCGTCACTTTCTTCGCAAAGTTCTAAGAGCATCTTCAAGGCTAACTTAGCTAACACTTTTCGCGATGCCGTGTGACACGTTAACAACAAGAACAATAATTTATTCTTCACAGTGTGTCTAGATAATAAGCTGAGCAACCTCTTGGTGGGGAAAGATAATAGAGCCTTCACAACGTTCACGTCGTTGTCGTCGAACTTTGCTGTAAGAATGTCCGTCATCATACCGCGAAAGCTCTCAGGCACGTCCATGTTGTTCTTGGCGAGGATTTGGAGAGCGGCCACTCGGTACGCGGTGTTGGCGTGCGTTAGTTTGTTCAGTATCTCCACGAATTCCTGCGTGTCCTTGGTACCAAAGGGCCACGATGTAAGGAAGTGTAACATCTGTTTGGTGTTTTCGTCATTCTCGCTCCGCGTCATCAATTTTCTTAGAAACAAGTCGAAATTCTCTGGATAGCTGCGCTCAAAGTTCTGATAGAACTTGGCTAAAAAATCTTTTGCAACTTCCGAAGTGTCGTTCTTGAAGTATTCGTGTGTTAGTACACCACGTAAAATTGCGTTTACCGCATTATCGTCGAGTTTATTGTGTTCCAATATGTTGCCAATCATGTTCTGCACTTTGCTGGTGCCTTCAGGATCCTCGACGACAAGTTGACAAGCTGCTTGAAGGAGAGGCACAATAAATCGCGACGCGTTGATGTTTGCTGAATTAATCTTGGCAGCTGTCTCAACAAACCACGGTAGTTTGGACAATTGAAGGACCAAACTTTGCGGTACAATAGTTAATTGATTAACTGAAGGTTGATAGAGTTGAAGTAAAAGTATGGTAGCGTCCTTCTTCAAGTGCGTCCTCTTGAACATTATTAGCAGTAACTTCTCCATGGTGTCGTCGTTCAATTTCACCTGTAGATTCATCAAGATATTAAGAACCGAAATTATATAATTTATACAATTTTTAATTATTTTTTAAATATTACATTTGTATTTATCTTATTTATATATTGTAATATTTATACAAATGATTTAAAATATAGAATATAAAGAATGGTAGAATAGAGAAAACATACTTTTATAATTATTGTGAAGTCAATATTGTTTACTTAAGAACATAAATAGTTTGAAAGAAAGTAAATATCAAAGCACAGGAAACTTGCCTTCGTTACTAGTTGCGCAATGATAATATAGCTGCTGGCAGCGAAATCGGGGATGGAACTTTTCAATCCACAAAGAATAGTCGGTAACAAATAGCTGATCTGAACCTCAGTGACGGACGTCAGTTCAATGGTACGTAATACTGTGGTAGTGTAAAATGCGTACAAAGTAGTCAGGCAAGATGCCTCACTCGAATAGGTTTGCGCGGCAAATGTTACATGACCGCACAGCGTTTTCAGAAGTCCTTTATCCGAGATCAAATGCTTGACGAAAATTCCGGAAGGCAGCATCATACCGCACTTTTGCACAGGTGCCAACCAATGCCATTTATCGCTCTCGTCTGACAAGTCTATCAGTTGCAGGGCTCTTAAAGGACAAAATTGTCAATTTTTAAGGAATCACAATGAAGGCAGATACATGTTAATGAACACTTGTATAAAAAAGTATTGTGGAAAAGTAAAAAACACTTTTATCAAGCCACGATTAAAATATTTTCAATTCCCAATCTAATATCTAATAAAACTTTTAATATAATTTTATTTTAATGTAATTCTGCGCCTTTTGCCATAGCGCATTAAGAATGAAATTAAGATATGAGGCTTTGTGCAAAATTGACTGGTTTGCATGAAACTAAGTTTACCACCTAATACAATATACATGGATGTTTAAATTATCAGCTTCAACTTCAAAAAATATAAAGTTTCAACAATACATACCTAATAAACATGCGTGTCTCATGGTACGGCAGAATTAAAAGAATAAACTGATCTCGATTGTACTGATGAATGTGGTATCTGAATATAAGCCACTCCAGGGCTTTGTGGCAGGCATTCTGTACAAAGTACGGAGTCGCGAATACCAAAAATTTCGCAATCTCCGCATCCAGTTGCTTATTTATCTTAGTATCCTGGACAGCTCTTTCGAAGTCTACAGAGCTCTCGGCAAATAATGTGGACTGAAATTCGTCGAACACCTTCGAGAGCTTCCGTAATTCTTCCAGACCATTCTGACCTGAGAACAGATAAGAAGTAATGAAGAAAAAATACCAAAGCGTTGTGAAGGATCCTAAAAAGAAAATATGTAGAAAAGATGAAATAGAAACTAACCTATACTGAGCACGGTGTGCCTGTCCAAATTCGCAGCCTCCTTCGGGTCGAACAACAAGCTAGGGCGCTTCTTATCTTGCAGCAGCAAGTTCGTCTGCGGGGTTCTCAATTTTTTCAGTTGTGCCGCTAACGACGTCATTGTTGTTAATCTACAAACAAACAGCAATATCAGGGATAACCACAAAAGGAAAGTAGAAATTGTACTCGTTTTACGACTTTTTACAAGAAATTAGGAACTTACGGAATTATTCTATTCTCACAAAAAAATTTATATTAACTTAATGTAATTGGTAGACTTTTGTGTATAAAGGATATATCACATTTGTTAATAAACACGTGCGAAAACAGCTCGCGGCCGAATACGCACGACACACCACGTGCAACAACGCGGGAAGAGGGAACCGGCCTGAAAGCAAATGGCGGCAGGAAACGATGTTACTAGCGGCCCTAGCGGCGGTACCTCTGTCTTCCGCGCATGCGTATTATCAGAGAGAAACAACTTTATATTCAAACGTATAGTTAACGTATATATAAGGTCTCCTGACAGATTGCTTGAAAAGGGCCAAAAACCATGGTCGGAACGTAGCGTTTTTTTAAATAAAGAAAATAAATTTTTGCCAGTTTTGGTAAAAAAAATTAAGTATCTACACTTAATTTGTCAATTATTACTGGCGACCTAGAAGATTTCATATTCGATTTTTATTTTTATTGCAAAAAGTAACCGCAAAGTAACGATTCGTTACTTTTCAGAATCGGTAACTTGTAACTGTGATAGTTACGTTTTTAGCGAAAAAAACTGTAACTGTAACTAGATACTTTTATAATGTAACTTTCTCAGCCCTGTATAAAATATTATACTTAGTCGCTTATACTTGGCGCGAGACACTACCGTGTCTCGTGATAATAAAACACTTATACCTCATGGTTGCTCCGCCGTTGCCCGATGCCTTCCAGGGGCTTGATTCTTGAATTTATTCGAAGGAGAAACGTATGCGAAAATTCTGCTCTTACAGACAAGTTGCAAGTTGATTGGTTACTCGCGTGGCTTTAACCAATAGACTTTCAACTTTTCTGTCAGAGCAGAGTTTTCGTATACATTTCTTCTTCGAATAAATTCAAGAATCGGACCCCAGGTCTCATATATCCTCCTCCTCTCAGATATCCTTGTTACACTGACACAATATTTACTCGAGAACACGATTCATTACGATCGCGCGCAATTTAACGTGACACTCCCGTACGCGCACGAAATATTAGCATACGTCGTGTAACTTTCCGTCGCGCAAATCGTTCGAACCGGCAACTCGCGTGTCATCTTGCGTTCTTGATTTGGAAGTAATCAAGGTAGTAAATCACATTTAAACTGGCGATATAAAACACAACGCGGGCATCGCAATCCAAGCGTCTGCGGTAAAGAAGCACTCATTGTTACTTATCAGTCCGCAACGAAACGATCCTTCAATCAATCTAGTCCTTACGCGAAACGATTACGCGAGCGAAACGTCCACTGCGATAAATAGTTGTTATTAATTGTAATGCAAGTGCACACTACAAGAAACGAAGAAGACGTCAACGACAGGATCACGCACGTAATTCCGTGCCGTTCGTACCGCAATTCGAAGGACAACGCGACGCACGTTCGACTACGGCGCGGCTCGCCGCTCGTCTGGCTCGAGCCGCCGCGCGCCGGCGCGCCGCAGTGACGTCACTCGAGCCGCCGCGCGCCGGCGCGCCGCAGTGACGTCACTCGAGCCGCCGCGCGCCGCAGCGATCGTCGCTTGTTGTCTCGAGCCGCCGCGACCGCTACCGCTACCGCGCTCCGAGGTCA